CTGCAGTTTTGGCCTCAAGGGCCCTCCGCCCCCACCCTGGAAAGCAAAGAAGAAACAGCGGAATCGGGGACCGAAAAAAGGAGCACATCGAGTGCTTTAAGGTTTGGGTCCTGTCGTCTTGGGCCTGGCCGGACAAGGGACGGCCTAAATCCACTTTGGCTGGGTATTTCACGGGCTTGGCCGTGGTACCCAGGGGTGTGAGAATTGACTGTGAGAAATTAGTTTGAAATTTCAAAGTTGGTACGCAATTTGAAGCGGAATTTTTCAAGTTTTTTAAATGTAACTTTTAACTTTATTTGAAAACCTCGGTCTTGCAACGCCAAAAAGTAGCGGCCCGATTTATATATATGTATAATATATATATATATGTATATAATATATATATATATATATGTATAAAAAATATAATAAATATATGTATATTATATATATATATTATATTATTTATATTGAATTATATTATATTTTATTTTATATACATTGTATTATATTATATTATTATATTATTATATTATATTATATTAGATTATATTATGATATCATATCATATTATATTATATATATCATATCATATTATATTAAATCATATTATATCATATTAGATTATATCATGTGTTGTATATATATTAAATTATATCATATTATATTATATTATGTTTGTATATATATCATATTATATTATATTGTATCATATTATATTATATTGTATCATATTATATTATATTGTATTATATTATATTGTATTATATTATATTATTTTATATTATATCAAAATATATTATAATACTATTATATCATATCATATTATATCATATCATATTATATTGTATCATATTATGTTGTATTATATCATATTAATATAATATTTTTTAGATAACATAATATATATATAATACATATATAGTAATATATATATATGAATGAAATATATAAATAATTTTTCAATAATATTTAATTAATATATAAAAAACCACAATAAAATATACATAATATAATATAATACAATATAATATAATGTAATACAATATAATTTAATATAATACAATCTAATATGATAAAATGTCATTTAATAGATTATAATTAAATATATTACAATACAATATTATATATGTTACATATATTACATATATTATATATAATATATATATCATATATAATATATATATATTATAATATATATATTATATTTAATATATTATATATATATTATTATTATATATTATATATTATATATTATATATTTTATTTATAGTATATGTATAACATATATTGTATATTATATATATTATATTATATATATATTATATATTTATTTATATTTAATATATCATATTATGTATTATATAAACAAAAAATATATATCATATATAATAAATCAATAAAATGAATATATAAATATATAATATAATATATATATATTATTATATATATTATATATTTTTATATATTATATATTATATAATATTATATATTATACTACATATATATTATATATTATATATTATATAATATTATATATTATACTACATATATATTATATATTATATATTATATATTATATATTATATATAATATATTATATATTATACATTATATATTATATATTATATATTATAAATTAAATTTTATGTATTATATATATATATATATACATATATATTATGTAGTGTATTTTTACTCTCATATATATATGGGGACGGGTCAAAATCTGTTTATTTCTAAACATCCATAGATCCTAGCTATTTTAGGGTACCATCCGGGTAGCAGGGTGCCATGACTCATAGCTCTGATCCCCATGATTTCCTATGGGAAACAGCTCCTACCTCAGACGAAATCTTGATATTATATATCTATATCGATTTAAAACATGTGTGTACATTTACATCTAAACACGCATATACACGTATAGATATAGATGATCTCTATGTATATACATAATATATGATAATATATATGTATTATATATATACAACATATGCATGCAATGCTTTCAAGCCATGTTACTCTCCAGCAACCACAATATATCAGCGAGGATAGTCACCAGTCCATGGTAGATCAGCAATCACAGTAATCTGTTTGAACCGTTGAGTCACAGATTGTGGATTTGTATCGCTTCCCAAGTCTATTTGTTGCAAAACTTGGACATGTGTAAAAAGTCCGGAAACTTCAGCCATCTGAAACTGCAGAGAACCAGATCTGAAGCCCAAGACGACTTCGGCACCTTTCGACTCAGGAACCAGTTGGAGGTGATGGAAGGCTTGCTGTGTGAAGCGATCAATCCCAACCTGCAGGATCGGGGCACCAACGGTCTCCACCTCGCCGCGCGCGCGGGTCATCTGCCCTGCGTGCAGATGCTGATCGAGGCAGAGGCGGAAATTGATCAAGTGCAGAGAAATTCAGGTGCCCCGAAGCGCACAAGACATACAAAACAGACATTTTGGATATTTTGGTACGATTTCTAATGTGGGAAAGCCACTAATTAATAAGCCTATCACTTGGGGATTGTACCACCCATTTATGATTTTGGGGATGGTTTAGTACCACATTATCCAGCTTTGGGTTCGACCAAGACTGGGATATGACAGGGAAAATGATTATAAATCGCTGGATTTTGGGGTACGGATTTGCAGACAAATCATTACATAGCAACCATCAAATAGATTAAAACGCAAATTGGGCTCCTGGAAAACATGAAGTAGAGACAAAGAGATATAATTTCTAATGGGGTAGAGCAGTACAGCACAAGGGCTGGTTGGTCAATTCAAGCATTCCTCCCTTTTGCGCCACGAATCAGAGGGTTGGAAACACCAAACAGTCTGTTTCTGGGGGTTCGTTGCCTGAAGTCCTTTAAAACCGTGGGAATGTACCAAAACCTTTTACCATGTTTTGAGGGGATGAACATCCAGTTTACGAGGGTACAAGGGCTTTGGCCGCATAGCCACAGATGGAAAAGCCCATGGTCAAGTTGCCAACTTTCGAAGGTCGAACGGCCTTGCACTACGCGGCTCTGAATGGGCACAACGAGGTGGCTCTGTTCCTCTTGGAGCTGGGTGCCCGCCATGACATTGAAACCCAGGACGGCTTTGCCACCCCGCTGCACCTGGCCACCCGCCGGGGTCATTGGCAGGTGGCCAACTTGCTACTGCAACTGGGGGCCAATCCCAACCGCGGCACCGGAGATTTAGGTGCCACACCTTTGCACGTCGCGGCACGTAGCGGGCACCTGGCGATCCTGAAGCTCTTGCTGAAGGCCAAGGCAGAGATTTCGGTGCCAATGATGCTGGTTGGGGGTTTCGACATGTCTCATTTTATGTCTCATTTTTATGGATTTTGATGGATAACATAACTATGGACAAGTACCTCTTTGATATTCTTTTATTGTCCTTCCCAGAAATGGGATGACTGACTATCATATACTATAATACTATCCCAGCTGATATGGGGTGCGGCTGAGGACAGATCGTCATCGCATGACCGCCTTGCATTGCGCATCCCTCTATGGCCATAGCGATGTGGTGCTCGCCCTCCTGAAGGCGGGTGCCGACAAAAACGCGCCCGCCGCAGGTGGCAAGACGCCCTTGCATCTTGCAGCAGAAGCCGGGGGACTGGAAGTAGCCAAGGTCTTGCTGGAATTTGGGTGCGAGAAACTGGTTGTGGCTATTAGTTTAGTGTTTTTCTCAGGAAAACTTAGGAGAGATAGGGGATATTTAGCCAACTATCATGGGGATACTAGTTACTAGTGACAAAATTGGGTGCTCGTAAGGAGCGGTTGGCGGTCCCACTTTTTTTTGGCACCCAAAGTGACATGATTCGCGGCCACCTTGCAACGGGCTGTCGCTCTTAGGAAAGATATCACCACCAGTGATGTTGGCGTGACACCGTTGCATGGTGCAGCGATGACTGGTCGCGTTGAGGTGGTTCGATTACTTTTGGAGGTAGGGGCCCACAAAGATTGGGTCACCATGGACAAGGGCAAGACGGCCTTGCACTTTGCTGCAAGACGAGGGCATAGTCAAGTGGCCAAGCTTTTACTGGAATATGGTGCAGAGAAAGATATTGCTACTGCGGATGTCCATGGCAAGACGCCTCTACATATTGCAGCCTTTCATGGACATGATGAAGTTGTTCGTTTGTTGCTGGAGTTTGGTGCTAAGAAGGAGTTAGCCACTGCAGACAATGGCATCCCAGCTGCTTTGGTTTTGCTAATTCGATGGGGAACACCTCATGGTTGAGGGACCACAAAATACATCAGATTCCTTGACTCTATATTTCTTTATATGTACACATATATATATATATATAACTGCATTTTTTTTCACACCTCAAGCTGCCCCTTGGAACACCCCCTTCAGACTGGCCACTTTGGAAATGCTTCCTATCTCCATGGCCTGAAACTCAGCTGAGGTATGACGGCCTTACATGTGGCGACCTTTCGTGGGCACCTGAAGATCGTGGAACGGATGCTTGGAGCGGGTCTGAACCCAGATGTGGCCACGAGCGACAACGGCAAGACGCCCCTGCACATGGCAGCCAAGCTTGGTGGCCTGGAACCATGAAATCATGGAGGATCCACCGGGTTAGGCAATTGAACACTGTTTGAGTACCTTCAATTGCCACTTTGATTCAGAAGGGTATCAATATCTAATTACATTTACATTTATATAATATATTATATATATATAGATAGATAGATCTATCTACATCTCTATCTCCACATACATATATCATGCCTCCATTTTTCGCTTCAACCTTGGAATCGCCTCTCTTTGTCTCCCAGGTCATGTGGAGATCGCTGCCGTGTTGCTGCAGGCGGGTGCTGAGAAAGACATGGCCACCAGCGACAACGGCCGGACCCCCTTACATGTGGCTGCCTCGCGCGGCCAGAGCCAGGTGGCTCAACTGTTGTTGAGCCAAGGGGTGGAAGCAGATTGGGCCACCACAGACCATGGCCGAAGAGCCCTACATCTGGCAGCAGCTGAGGGACACCTAGAGGTGATGACTGTTTTGATGGATCATGGGGTGGATAAAGACGTCTCTGCGGCGGATGGCATGACACCAATGCACCTGGCGGCTTCTAATGGTCGTGTGGAGGCTGTGCAAGTGTTGTTGGAGAAAGGTGCTGCGAAGGATGCTGTCAACTCGGTGTGCTCCAGGTTATTTTTGCTTTCTGGATGGGAAATCCAACATTTGGGGAATCTTGAATAGGAATATCGTCTGCATATGTACACACAGACGCATGTTGGTGCCTCTTTGGAGTACCTCCAAGGTCACGGACAATGGCACGACACCTCTACACTTTGCTTCACATGAAGGCCACCTGGCCGTGGTTAGACTTTTGTTGGAGGCTGGCGCTGCGAAGGATGTGTCGAATGCACATGGTGCCACTGCCTTACATCTGGCTGCCCGACGTGGGCATTTGGAAGTGGTGAAAGTCTTACTGGACTTTGGTGCACAGCAACTGGCGGTTTCAACACGTTTGAAACATGTTTCATTATTTTCCATCCCCCAAACCGAAAGATGATCCCAATTTTTTTGATCTTTTCTTGACACAGCTTCACCACGAGGCAAGATATCATGGCCAAGGGAAACAGGGTGACGCCCATGATGATCGCCAGGATTCTTCAACATCGCGATATCGAGCGTGTGCTCGGGGACTCAGGCTGCCCCCTCGACCCTTTGAGGCCTGACAGTCTGCGCAAGGGCATCAAGCGTTTGGCCGCGGGCTTTCCAAAGAACAAGCGTCGCAAACGGCAATGAAGATGCAAACGTGGCCTGAAAATCAGCTGTTCTGAAGGGTCATTGTTTTTTTCTTTGCAGTTTTCAATTTTCTATTAATGTTTTTTCGATGTAAGCAAGATGGCTATCAAACGAACAGCTAGTCCCAGCTTAGGCCGACCCATGATGAGATTGCTACCTGTGTTGCCAAGTACAAGATGCGCTTGGCATTGTCGAAGTTGAGCTAGGATGTTCAGAGTCCGTTTCACACCCTGTCTTTCCAATATGGAAACCAGCACACATTTTGGGAAATTACTTTGCTCACGTTGAGATGTCAGCTTAAGATGTGGGATTCGTTGAGCATCTAAGAGTTGGTAACTGTTGTTAACTTAAAGGAGAAGGTTCTCATTCCAGCCTAAGCTCCCCAAAGCTCCCTAAGCCACCCCCCCCCTTGGACCCCCCCCTTAAGAATCCTATAAAAGTATGTGTATACACACAATTAATACATACATATGTATATATATATATATTACAGACACATAGGTAGCCATTCATGTCACCCTTCCCTACTTCTGTCCATAGGTTTGCTGTTGGCTAAACGCTAAACGTGAGACTCCATTTTTCTGGTGACCAAATCCTGTCGACACCAGGAAGCAGAGTGAGAATGCCATGGCGATTGCAAGCTTTTTGGAGAAGCACCCCAAGGCGGGGCCCAAGGCGCTGCAGTGTGAGGTCAATGACTTTCATCATGTCATGCCATATACGTGTCCTTCTTTTTTTGGATGACAAATTATTAGGCAAACTGCTGCATTTGAATTCTCCTGAGAGAAAGGGTCTTGCTTTAAACTTTAAACAAAAGGTGAGGACCAGTTTCCCCAGCTGGGAGGTTCAAACACTTCCGTATTACTTTTGCACACCAATTACCAAACATCAAACAGGGCGCACTGTTCGGTTGGTGTTCCCTTTTTTTTTTCGAATATAACTATAGTACATTATAGTGTATATATATAATACATATATATATATATATAATACAATATCCCCATGACTCCTCTGGTTTTGTGCGTTGAAGCCTTGTAAGAAACTTGGCCAACATTGGCCAAGTGAATCTGACCTCGCAGGTGACGAAGGTGGTGTTCCTCGGCCCCACGACATTGGACATGGTCCATAGGGCCGTAGGGAGCCATCAACATCCATCTCTGGAGATGAGTTGGGTATGGGTCAAAATTAGGTACCCCAAAATTATGGATGGTGAATACTAAACTAGACTAACATCTGTGGTCCCCTAGGTCTTCCATTTTGACCCACATCCAGTTATGAATAGTGGTGCCCCAGTTCGTTAGCTAAGTTGGTTCACATAACTCCCATTTCACTATGGTTTATGGCAGATATAACGAACTAGTATTCATGGGGGTTATGAACCAACGTTCACATCACTGGGGGGCACCATCCTGTATGAATAGTTTATGTTCTTTGATCATCTGAATGATTTTTCTTTCTCAGCTCTACCAGGTTTTTTTTGGGATGGCTGGGTGTTGTGGAAGAATCCCCAGTTGGATGGCTACAGCTCCAACGTTGGGTGCCAATGGATACCCAGTGCCTTTTCAAAATTGAGGCTTTCGCTCGGCTCAAAGTTGGCTAGCCCAAAAACCATGTATGTTGACTATATCATATACCCTCTGGTAATTTAACATAGCTATTGAAAATCACCATTTATAGTGGATTTACCCATTGAAAATGGTGATTTTCCATAGTTATGTTACTATACCAGAGGGTACATAATGATGATTATTGTATGAATTTCAAATTGAACATGGCCATAGCTTGGTGGTCAAAGTCTCGCCCAAAAATCGAGACCGCAGTCCGCAGGTATCCGGGCTTGGCCTCGCACCCACAGAAAGCCTTGGCCGACAAGTGATCCACTGATTGGGGAGATTCATGGGGGTTGTCTGAACATGGTAATATCATGGGAATATATATCTGGTTGGTGGTTTGGAACATTTTATATTTTTCCATATATTGGGAATAATCATCCCAACTGACTAATATTTTTCAGAGGGGTTGAAACCACCAACCAGATATAATAAATGGCCATAGAAATAGTGGATTTACCCATCAAAAATGGTGATTTTCCAGTTCGCTATGTTAAATTACCAGAGGGTAATATCATGGGAATCATAGAATGCTTAATATAATGGGATTAATGGGGGTATTCATCATTCCTGATAACATTAGTCAATGAAATATGGGAATATTCATGGGAATATGATATGTGAATAACTATCATGGGAATAATTAGTGCTTAATAATGGGTGTACATATAACCAGCACTAATAGACTAATGATACTATATGAAAACCACTCCCGCTGAATTTTGGATTTTTCCCCATTGAAGTGGTTGGTTGGGGAAAACCCATCTTTAGACAAGGCCGTATATTCTTCTACATTTGTTCCACGATTTTCTGGAGCGGTTTCACCCGATTTGACTCAGAATGTGAAGCGACTTTCATGGCATTCAATTCAAGTGCTGAATTGACTGACCATCATCGGCGGGGATCTCTTCCCCATAATTCAATTGAGCACTGTTTAAAACCCCGGTTGATTGATTATTATATGGGATTATATGGGATTATACTATCCTATTGTTTGGGGATTTATGGTTTCTTCTCAAGAACTTCATATGTGCTAAACTTCTGCTAAACCCAAAATTGAAAATAAAACCCATTTGCCCAATTTTGTGATTTGGGGGGAAGGGAATCATTATTGATCTTATTGGTTTTCCACATTTTGCCCCCCCCCCAACAGATTGAAACACAGAAAACCAAAACATCGCAAACACCAAAATGTTGCAGCTACTAGTATATCTAGTATCTATTTTCATCCCAATCTCCTTCCATAGTTTCTGAAATTCCCAGTTTTTGTTCAAATCGCCATAAAGATATCGCTGGTCGAGGTACCACCGAGACGGTCTCCATGGCGGCATGCTCTGGTGCCTGGGAGTTGGTGGCTTCTCCCATGGCGCGATCTCATCCTTTTGCATCTTTATTTTTTTTGTTTTTTTTGGTGGGGTAGCCCTAGTTTTGGGGTGGGGTATCCCTATTTTTTGGTGCTTTTTGAGGACATCCCTACAGATGGACTTCCAAAATGCACACATTTCCTTCCAAACGGTGCTAGTTTGGGGGGTATTTTGGTGGTATCCCGATTGTGAACCCCAAAGAATCAACAGATTTAACACGGTTAAACATATGAGAACGAAAGTGGAACCCCAACACCAGATGGTTAGAAGATGATAATTCGGACTGGATTTGGCAATTGTGGATTCGATGCTCAATTGGCTTGCGCCCGGATGGGTACATTGTGTCCCCGTTTAAAGAAGATAGGCAATGTGCCCTTGGGATGTCTTGTACCAGGTTCGACATTGTTGGTGGCTCCGAAGCAGGAACCAAGCTGATGAACGTCGCTTGGCTTCTCGCGATGAAATCGAAGATGAAATCCTCTGCCAAGTGGTGCCGAAAAGGGCCGTGTACATATTGATTCTATTGGGGTGTAGTACCCTCTGGTGAACTAACATAGCAATGGAAAATGGCCATTTATAGTGGATTTTCCCATTAAAAATGGTGATTTTCCATTGCTATCTTAGTTCACCAGAGGGTAGTCACTTGTTGGCAAAGAAAGGCAAAGAAGGATCTGGTATGAGATATCTGACAAAGTGACTTGATCTGTGGCTTTTTTTGGCAGCGAGACATGTGGGCATCGGATCATGATGAAATTCGACGAATGCTGCTTCTGAATAGAACAAAGGGTCAAAGTTTCAGTGGACCACTTCATGGTATGGGCGAGACCGTTTCCTCAGAGATTCCTTTTCGAGGAACCTAATCCACTATTTTTGAGATGATCCTGTTCGCAAATGTTCGCAATTCATTGAGATTCCTTGAATCTCTTAGGGCTTTGAAGAAGTCGTAGCTGTCAGGTCTGTCAGCGACCTTGGAGCTTGTGTGAGAACTTGGGGGCCACAGAGTTGCTTGGCAACAGAAGGGGGGGCGGCCATGGGAACCTGGAGGATCATCCAACAGGTCGTAACTGCTTGGTACTTAGTAAGTATATGTAGCTATAGTATGCTATAGTGATAACATGTTATAACCCATTTGTAAAATGGAATCAACACATATAAACACCACAAGTGGGGACCTACTGGGTATATTAACTCCTGGGAGGTTCCTCCGCCCCAGGGAACCGCCAAGTTTGGTCATTTTTTGAATATTAAGCCATCCATTCATCATCCTGGTTTTGGAGCATCTGACTAACTCAGACAATCCCGGTGTCCCATGAGGAGCGAGAGAAATGACCCAGGAGGCTTCCAGTTCGCAAAGTGAAGCTGCAAGAAATTACCGGAGGCTAGATTCTCATCAATATCCCATTAAATCCCCATATTATTCACAGTCTAATGGTCAATGGTTGAATCACCATCAATATCCCATCAATATTCTATCAATCATGATCCTTTTTGATGATCAACGCCCCTTTTTTTCCTCGTGCCTAGGAGCATCATTACGGCCTGCGCGGTGATGACGCACGCCAACATGCTGAAGGAGGACCGACTCAAGGCCGGGCATTTGGGGTGTGGGGCCCGTTGGGGTTGTCTAAGGCAGATGTTTTCCTTGGACATAGCTTTCTATGTTTTTTTTCTTCTGTATACATACATACATACATACATACATACATACATACATACATACATACATACATACATACATACATACATACATACACATACATACATACATACATACATACATACATACATACATACATACATACATACATACATACATACATACATACTACATACATACATACATACATACATACATACATACATACATACATACATACATACATACATACATACATACATACATACATACATACATACATACATACATACATACATACATACATACATACATACATACATACATACACATATGTTTTTTTTCTTTTTCTGTTTTCTTATTCAAATAATACTATATAATATAACATGATATGATGTGATCTAATACAGTATAGTATAATATAATATAATATAATACAATATGATATGGTATAATATAATACAATATAATATGATATGGTATAATATATACAATATAATATGATATAACATTATATAAAATATGATGTTATATAATATGATGTAATATAATGTAACATTGTATTATATAATATCATATGATATAGTTTAATATGATATGGTATGATATAATATAACATTTACATAGTATATATATATACATGCATATGTACTATGTACTATACACATGAATTATATCATAGAATGTGTATAAACGGGTCTGGTTATTCCGTATAGTTCTCAACCAGTGCCTTACTTGGACGTACATTGAGAACGGGGGTCAGGTCGGCATCACAGACGGCTTCATTCGCATCAGCTGCGGCATTGAGGACTGCACCGAGGGTTTCGCCTGGGGTTTGGTGCAGTGGGTGGGAGAAGTTGCAATGGTTTTTAGGACCAAATGGTGTGGTGTAGGGAACTTCGTAGTAGGGACATAGATTTTTGATACTGAATCCCAACTTTTTCACGGAATCCTAGCCTTTTGATGCTTACGTCCCAATATTTTGTATGTTTTTTTTAATGGTTTTTTATCTCAACCTTTGATGATTTTGATGGTCAGCTGAGCATTTCGTAAGGTTCACGGTCAATCTCCATTCTTTTGGGAATGGTGATCAGGATTCTGGGGACCTCATCAAGGCCCTGGAAGTGGCCCTTGAGCAGATCTGAGGCGGCAAGGCCTGGATCGATGGTGGATTCTCACAGTTTTAGCACGACTTGTGGCCATTTTTCTTGGGTATTTGCCCGGACTGATGGCAAATACCTTGATGGGCAGGAATTCTCGAGTCGATCTTGATCAGACCCCACTTATTTTTCGGGGGTTGTTTTGGTGTTTCTGCATGATTTCGGTGATAATTTCATGTGGTACACGCCAGTCTAAGGGTACGATTTGGGTTCTGATACCGTGCCCTGGGCTTGACACCCATCGACCGCTTTGCAGGCACCTTTGATGGCTTCAAGTAGAATGGCCTCACTGCTCACTTAGTAGCCTGACATTCATGACACTCTCTGGATGGTGCATAGATGTTCAATTTGTTTTCTTGCGTGGTTGCAGAAGAAAAGAGTGGTACCACTACCCCATTTTCCATACCAGTTAAAATGCATGGAAGCTTGTTTACTTGGCGGAAATGATTGTCCCTCTTTTTCCACAAAAGTTCAAGAGTTGTTTTGAAAGATCCTTTTCGCAGTGGAAAGCCACTTTTACTGGGGGACTCCGGGGAGTTTAAGCAGCAACAAGGGTCGATGTTGTGATCGCGCGAACCCAGGGCGCCTCACCATGTCACCCTCTTTGATCTTCCTGTTCGACCCAATGAACAATTTAGATATAGCGTGGTCGAAGATTGAGATTATCACAGATTAACTATCCACTACTCTCCACGTCCAATTTTTGGAAGTACCACATCCTGACCCTAACCAATGTGATGAGCGTGTCAGGGATGTTGCCATGGAACTTTCAACCATGCCAATCCCAGAGCAAAACTTGCTCGAGAAGCCGGACGGCGCTCGTCCGCGGAAAGGCTGGCAGCTGCAATGCGAAGCCGTTGGGGTTTTGGGAAAAGCAATTGGGGGTTTCCATTTCCATAAAGTCTATATATATATATATATAATGAAAAATCCTATTCATAATTTGGGGGTACCCCCATAGATTGGACACCTCCAATGGGGAAGATGAAGGTCTCCAGGTCTTTGTCGAATTTTACGAGAAGATGGAAAAAGGAAGCTCTCAGTAGTAGGAAACCCATCTCTACACGTGTTGCGCAATGCTTGGACACACACACACACACAGGAAAGGTTCTTAGCTGGAGGATGGAGAAGGCATGTTTTCCAGATCTCGAGTAGTCTGTAGACGATAGACGAGAATGTTGCCACAGGTAGGCAGATATTCATTTGCATACACATGTGACGAGCAGTAGTGGAATCAACCAGACCCCGCCAAAAAAAAACAGCTCTCTTTTCACAAGTTTTTTGGCTCAAGGCGAGATCAGCATGATTTGTCGAAGCGAAAGCTGTGACAAGCATTGGACAGGCAAAATGAACTCGCCTATGGATGGCACGATTTTTTGGAGATCCCCCACTATGTCACTATGCATCAAAATGGTCGACATCCCTGGAAAGTTTGGCCTGTGTGGCCCATGATCCCCAACCCGTGAATTCTCGGATACAAAACGCCTCACACCTCAGCATCGTTTTTTCGCCATGGCGAGCGCGTGGAAATTTGTAGATGTCATGAGGTGACCGGGATGGGATCAACATTGGGATGGGATGAAGAATCAGCACAACATCATCCGATTTATAGTGGATTTACCCATTGAAAACGGTGATTTTCCCATCAGTTTTTTGTATGTTTACCAAAAGAGCATCAAATCACCAACATCTGTGGTCACTGTGGTGAAACCCAAAGACTCCGAGGATTTTTTGTGGCTCCCAGGACGGACCCATTTGGCTGATCTCACCATGACTAGGTGAAGAAGTCTGCTGGATGGCTCTAAGTTGAATCTCAAAGTCATTCGGATGGGTCCATACGGGTTCAAATTTGAGTTCACTCCACTGGCTGCTAAGCTTTTGGTTGCTCCTTATCTTTAGCTACTTTAGCTATGATATATGGAACAGTCTCTGATGATGCATTGGTTTGTTGTCGGGGTTGCACTCACTTGCTTTAAATTAAAGGGGATGTTCTACATGACCATTACTATTGCTTGTACTCTTTTCATCTATTAAAAATATAAACAACATGTTAGTTATAGTTATTAGTAGTAACCACACTCACTATTTTAAATTGTACTATATAATTGTACTACCATCATCATACCTAATACAATTATTATCTATCATGTGGATTGACGTGGATCATATCCTAATACTCGATACACCTCAGTCACGATAATACCGATACCAATGACCTAGTAGCCTAATTGACACAACTATAGTAGCGATACAGTGTTACTACCGGTATTTTTCAACAATCGTTATGTTGTTATTATATAGCAATGCTGTCAGCTATAGTCTGATGACTTTTAGTTGTCATTGTCTAAAAGTAACAGTTGTCGGTAAACATCTAATAAACATGATAGAATGGCATAGCTATACTGGCACCAGTAGTCACAATGTCATAATTGTTCGTTATCACGGACTAATAGTTATACTTTGCGGTAAGAGTGTTTACATAATAATGATAGTTCTACAACAACCGAATGATACAGATAGTTATATCAATGATAGTTCTATAATTATAATCTGACTATAAAATGACTATAATAATCCAATGATACTTATCAAAAGTCGTTCAAATCTTGATGCCAGGCCCTTATTGGCTGCATCCCTCCCCAGCGCAGTCGCGCTGGCACGATGCCAGTGCGACCAACGAGGCACCGCAGGCGGCCGTTTCTTTTTTTGAGACAGGTACCAAGAAAATTTTGGAAGGTAAGATTTCCATAGATTTCCCCAAATCACATGGAATTATATGGATATGATATGAACCAGTAGTTCTTTATTATGGATTTATATGGATATGAACCAGCTATTCGATGATTTCACCATCATTATTGTTACCCCAAATTAATAAAGACCCTGAACATAGCCGCTTGTTAGTAGAAGCTCATCTTCTAGCCCCCAACTGATGGCAGGGTCTATGTTAATTTTGGGGGAGGGTAAGCTAAAAACCGATGGTGGTAGTTTAACAAAGGTTTGGGTTAATTTAACTATGTAGAAAAATGGGGGTTCAAGCATCAAAAATGGAAACATGCACTTAAAACCAACAAACATAACCATGGTGATCTATCATTTTCTGGGATTTTCCATTAGTCATGTGAAGCGAAATGGCCCACTTACAGCTGGGAGCAAGCACATAGTAGGAATCAATCCCTTTCGACGTGTTTCATGATGTTTGTTTCATGTTATGCATTTTGGTTTGTTCGTGATGATTTTGATCTTGTTTTGTAACTTCCTAACTTGGAGAAACAGCAATTTGTACAGGGTTCCAGTAGGCATTTTTTTGACGTTTGATGTTGTCCCAAAGTTCAGACGCACCTATTCATATACCGATTCTGGGCAACAGATGGACATTTCAACCACCATTCTGGTTTTACCGGTGGTTTTTTGGCGATTTAGCTCCAAAAGGATTCTCTTCCCCTTGGACCTATGGGTGCCTGCCATGGTGAGGCACTGGCCGGTCTCGGCGCTTCTTGCAGCCAAGAAGTCCCTTCTTGTGGTGCGAAGAGAAGAAAAAAGTGGCTTGATCGCAGCTGGAGGCAGCGAAGACGGTTCAAACAGCAGCTGGGACTTTGTATCTCACTTGTAACATCTTGTGACCCTTACAAGTTGGGTTCAAATTTGGGTCGTACCCAGACCACCCAGGTAGCCATTGGTATCGACCTTGGAACGACCTTCAGCTGTGTTGGTGTTTGGAAGGCCGTTGGATCTCGGGGAGATTCAGGGGGAAGTTGAAGAGCTCAATTCAACAACAAACCACCCATTTTTCGATGATTTACAGCAACCCCCCAAAAATGGGTGAATTTGGGGAGGGTTGACCCTATTGCCTTACTGACATTCTGGGCTCAAAACAAGGTTTATTTTGAGATTGAATGACCATCCAATAGGTTGAAGGACCACACTCCAGAGCTCCATGAAACACCCAAAATTGGTGCGGTTTTGATATGTCTTGATCCATAGCCTCTGGTAATTTCTGACATAGCTATTAAAAACCGGTTCATTTGTGTCAATGGGAATTTCAGGATCCTAAAATGGAGGTACTGTATGGTACTGTACCTTTTTTAGGCCATATAAGGCCATATTTTGATTTGCCAATTTGCCAAATATAGCTATAGCTGTTGGATATTTATAGCATTTTATAGCTATTATCAATAGCTATTGATTTGCCATTGATAATTTTCCATAGCCAAAAGGGTGAGTTGGCCGCAGGAGGATGGGGTTCAAATCATTGAGAACTCGGAAGGGAAAAGAACGACGCCCTCCTTCGTGGCCTTTACCGAGGCGGTTGAACGGTCGGCTTCGTATGGAGCTCTCCGTGTTTTTTGTTTCTTATTTCAAGTCATGCATCAAGATACAGAGAACTGTATACAAACAGTTTTATCATGTTTTATCTATATCTATCTATATATATATAATATACATATACATATCTATATATCTATATATCTATATCTATATCTATATCTATATCTATATAAAATCTATAATATCCAAAATCTATATCTAATATCTCCTGTAGATGGTATTCATATGCTGTCACGGATCATGTCGATCATTTCTCCATGTCCGTTCCGTGGCTTTCCCCACAGGCTGAACGTTTGGTGGGCGATGCAGCGAAGAGCCAAGCCGCCAGAAATCCTGGCAACACGTCCGGGATCCCGGTAAGAACTCAGTGCAGACATGATATTATCATTGATATCATTGGGGAATCCATAAATATCATTAAATATTCATAATGATATTATCAAATTTATGAAGTAATGATATCATTCAATATCCATATATGATTTATCATAAACATGAATCTTTCTTTATGATGCAGATATCCAATGATATCCATATTGAATGGTTATACACATCAAAGTTTAGTACATGTTATCATGATAATAATACAATATGATCATAGCTTTGCATACACATCAAATAGATATCAGTCCATTAGTTGACGAGAAACCGATTGAGGACCCCGTTGGACAGCCATCCGCCGGTGTTCCCGTTGTTTCTGGAACCCAACCTGCAGCCAGCTTCCTAAGGATCTTCGATGCCAAGAGGCCCGTTGTTTTTTTTTGGTGCACTGAGCTGTCATTGGCTCCAGACATTTTCAAACATGTGTGCCCCAAAATTTGTGGAGCCACAGAATGCTGAGCTGCTCGAAAAATGAATCATTTCTGGAAGAACCGAATTGCACCTCAGTGTTCCGATTTCAGCCACTTCAACACGCCTCGAGGTTGATTGGCCGGAAATTCCACGACTCTCCCGTGCAAGCGGACATGAAGCACTGGCCTTTCAAGGTGCTTGGTGAAGTAGGTTGGAGATCAACGGACATATGACGACCCGAATTTTCAGCCAGATCTCTGCTGGACAGGTCGTCAAAGGGAAAGATGATAAGCCCCTGATTGAGGCAGGGGAGGTCATGATGAAGGTAACACAAATGACCCAACATCTGTGTATCTGTGGGTCTCGAAGTTTGAATTTTTGAAGAAGGGACCGAACAGTGTCAAACAATGGTGGTCCCATGTGGTCCCTATGGTTTTTGGAGACCAGACAGACAGTGAAGTTAGATCATACGGATATTCAACAAGGCCACACCCTTGATCCAGGTGTCTTATCAGGGAAAGCGCAAGCAGTTTCATCCGGAGGAAATTTCGGCATGGTGGCCCAACTGGTTTTCTTCTTCGTTGTTACCAGGTGGCTTGTATAGGGCAGCAAATACAATGTGAGACCCCCCAAGTTGGGTCATATCTCTAAAGCATTCTATATCTTTGTCTATGTATTATATTTACAATTTACAACATGATTGCAGATGTATACTATATATATATCTATATCATATACTTATTTTCGTTTTTCCTCTATATATATATATATATTGTACTAGTATGAACGTATGCGTGTTAGATTCCGGAATCACTGAGGCTTTTGTCCTCCAAAAAATGAAGGAAACAGCCGAGGCCAGGCTGTTGGCTATGGGAGTATCTCGGATGAGTGTGACCATCAGTTTCTGCGGGGTGTCAAGTTCTTGGCATCAAAAAACAAAACAGCACGCACGTGATTCACCAAAAGCATCAGGATTAATGTGGTAAAGCCAGTTGTAAACCATCCCCAATATCACCATAAACGGGTTGTATAAACCATCCTCAGTCATGGTAGGTTTATGGCAGCCAGGGTTTACCAGCTTTTTAAGCATCATTTCTTTTAAGTCAATGAAGCCTAACTTATCCAATGAACCTAGGGCTTCCTGTGACCACAGGAGCCTCCTGCGTCAGGCTCATTTAGGCCATCCCATTACGGATGCAGTGATCACTGTGCCGGCGTATTTCAACGACTCACAGAGGCAGTCGGGGTTGTGCACCGGATGGGGCAGATGGGGATATAAAATCAACCAGAATTGATAGCAAACGAGATTAGGTACCGACAAAGTACCCCCCAACGAAAAGATAGACAAGTTGTAATATATCTAATTATATCTATCATTACTTTTCAGTTGGATTTCACATTTCTATCTTGGGGGGTTGCTATGTTCATGAAACAGGTGCACACTGCCAGGTTGCTAGGTAGCTGCTGGCGGACCTTGCCGTCGCTCATGTGGGTTGGTGATTTACCTTCAAACACTACGTGTCTAAATATACACGCAGAACATTACATAATTGTGAATACATATTAATAGAATTTAATAGATGCATACGTATATGAAGCAATGATGATGCATAAATATATTATGCAAGAATATATACTGTATGTATGTATGTATGTATGTTATGTAATGTAATGTAATGTAATGTAATGTAATGCAGTGTAATGTAATGTAATGTAATGTAATGTAATGTATGTATGTATGTGTGTATGTGTGTATGTAATGTATGTATGTATGAATGTATGTAATGTAATGCAATGTAATGTAATGTAGTGTAATGTAATGTAATGTAATGTAATGTATGTATGTATGTAATGTATGTATGTGTGTATGTATGTATGTATGCATGTATGTATGTATGTAGGTTGGTATGGTATGGTATGGTATGGTATGGTATGGCATGGCATGGTATGGTATGGTATGGTATGGTATGGTATGTATGTATGTATGTATGTATATATATATATATATACACACTGCATGTGTATATATACATATATATATATATATATGTAGATAATCTAGTAGATACACATACTAATATCCGATAGAGGCTAGAGTCAAGCGCCATTTTCATTTCCATTTTGTGCTTCATCTTACGCCAGGCAAGCAACCAAAGATGCTGGTGCCATCTGCGGGCTCAACGTGCTCAGGCACTGGGCGTGAAATGTGGGGATAGAATGGGACCACTAACAATATGACATTTGGGTTTCCATAAATGGGGGTACCCCAATAGCTGGATGGTTTATAAGGGAAAATCCTACTAACATAGATGATTTGGGGGTACCCCTATTTCAGGAAACCCCCATTTGGTTTTGTCTGAAAATAGATAAGATGTTATCAATAAGACCACTGGAGACCATCATGGCACTTTCTCATTCAAATGACTTTTGGAGGGGGACATCCCACATTGTGAGACAAACACATGGGGTGCTTTAATGATAATGGCTGACTTTTATCACTTTCAAAGTCCAAAAAGATGACAAACCCATCAGTGACTCTGCCAGGATCATCAATGAGCCCACTGCTGCAGCCCTGGCCTATGGCGCGAGGGGCGTGGAAGCTGTGCGCTGGGCATGTGGGTGACCAATTTTAGCTACCCTCTCTGTGAAAGCAACCGGATGACAGGAGGGAATGTCTATGTCATCTATGTTTTTATTTTTTTGGGGGGTTATATAAGGTTTGTCCCACAATTTAGCGCGTTTCAATGGGTTGGAAGATCTCTCTTTCGCCATATGCTTTCATGGCCATGAAATGGAGTGGAGACCAAGATGTTAAGATTGAGTTGAACGATGATTGAACAATGACGACAGCCATTTTGGTGACGACCCCATTGCCAGACCCATTTACGTGGACATATCTGTGGTTGCGTGATGTTGTTGCGACGCTTTATTGTGAGTAGAACCTTTTGACGACTGTGATCTGGAATGCGCGTTTCATATCAAGTATGATCAAATCTTATCAATCTGACATTCACTTCTTCTTTTTGACATTGGCACATCCGCGGGGTTTGCGCCTCACAATACAGGGAGATCACTCGCTGCGGTGCAGGCTTGGACTCCAAAGTGCGTGGCGCGCAGCATGTGGGGAGAACCCAACTGCGAAGTTGGTTGAGAGAAAAACAGTGACGATGGACAATTTGGCTAGGGTTTCTGATATAGTTATATAGTTATATATGGACAATTTACATATATGGAAAATACATATATATATATATATGTGAGTTTGTACTCTAAGGGCTGAGGCTTTCTGAAAACGGCTATGGGCCATGTGCTTTGATTGTCAGCGCAGAACTGCCATGCTTTGGGTAGTGACTGGAGTGAAGCGCTTTTCGTTGTGGTGAGTTTCTATGGCTTGTGAAATCTGAGAAAGAGAACTTCTCAAAATTTGAGCCCACCAATTTTCCATGAATGAGGAATGTTGATTGGCAACGACCTGTTTGGGGTTGCAAAGTTGATGAAATTCAAGTTTTCTAATTCTCAAGTGGTTTGTGGATGACCAAAGAATTTGTCAGGAACGTGATTAAGATTGGAGGACCGTCTCACGTAGTGGTTAATAATAATAAGCCTAGGCCTATTAAGTCCCCGATTCCTGGGGCTATCCCATTTTATATATATATATTTATACCTCTCTCTCTATATACATATATATCTATAAAACATATAAATATATATACATATACACATACATATCCGTATATCCATATATATATATATGTATATATATATATGGCTTATAACTTTTAGTGCCCAGTAGCACGATTCGTGGCATCCTCCAAGTGTCATCCAGGTCTTGGTCTACGACATGGGTGGTGGCACCTTTGATGTGTCGCTTCTCGAGATCGAGGTCTTTGGGGGGGGCCGGGAACGGGCGAAATCTCCCATGGTGGTTTCGATAGTCATCGGGGTACCCGAAAATGGATGGTTTATAATGGAACATCCTATTAAAATGGATGATTATAAATGGGTACCCCCATTTATGGAAACCACCACATGGCAGATGACTAAGGATCCATGTTTAAGACTTGGACATTCTAAATATTCGACGTATTTTATCACTCAAGTCGGGAGAACACATATTTGGCAGATTTCATTTCCTCCCCAGACAGGTGTCGGGCAAAAACTGGGATGGTTCCTAGCCCGTCAAAGCATGTCAGGGTTACGAATTGCTATGTGTACATATGTATGTATATATATACATATATACATATATACATATATACATATACATATATATATATATACATATGTATGTGTATTCGTATGTATATATATATACATATATATATACGTATGTATGTGTATTCGTATGTATATATATATATACATATATATATACATATATATATACATATATATATGCCTTTCCCTCTGGCTCACTCATTCCCACCATGATTTGAGACAACTACTAGACCCCTACTGGTAGCGTTTGATTTCTGGGATGGCTGAACTGCCAACCAGATGTTCAGCTTGGCCCCGGAGTAATGGTGAGTGGTCCTCATGATATTTTTCTATGAGTTAACACACACCCAACTGAGCCATCAAAAATACCCTGGTTAATTGATTGCTATAGGAGATTATACTACCTGGTTTACGGGGGATTATGATAACCCATAGTAGGGAAACCTATCAACGAACTAATATAATGAGATGGGATAGGGGTATTTTTAATGGCTCAACTGAATTATTGTTGTTGGCCTCTATCCCCATGCGTGCTACTAATCCAAGGATCACTCAATTTAGTGGATACCCCGGTAGTAGTCAAACATGTCTGTTTGGAAAAATAGTTAAACACGGTTTTTGGGTGAAACATCTCATGTGTAAATGGGACATGTTTCATTCCATTGTGTTTGATCAACGGAAGGCAACGTGTGACCCCAATCACTTTATTGTTGATTCACATCTTTACGTCTGATGATCCTTTGGTAATCACCAGTGGTTGGCTGGAATATTTACCATCTTAATTATATATATATACATGTTATTTTGAATGTTTTCCCATACAACTCATTCATCGTTTTGCGATGTCGGTACTCGTAAAGCGATAGTGAAGCATCTCCCATTTTACCATCAATGGCCAGGCCAACCATCAACCATCATCAATCCATATGAATGATAAAAATGGCATTGCTTTTTCCTAACAGATGATTTCCCCTGATTTTCCCATAGTATTCCCATAGTTTTCCCATTTTCCCATGGTGATTTTCCCATGGTTTTCCTCCATGCCATGGCTTGTTTTGGCTGCCAGGATGGTGTCTTCGAGGTCAAGGCCACAGCCGGAGACACGCATCTGGGCGGCGAGGCGCCATGGCATGGCATGGCATGGCATGGCATGGTGGGGTGATCTGGTGGTTTATGGCATGGCACCATGCAGAATTGGGTATGGGTCAATACCTATAGATACCATTTTTAATGGGATGAACATCCATTTACCAGCTATTTTGATGTGAACTACAGGGGTACAAGGTTTTGACACACTGCCAATTTTCTGGCTGAATCGAAGAGTAAATATGATAAATGGCATGGCGATGTTTTTTCTGAAGATTGATGGGGAAACAAACAAGTTTTTGTTCATTGGGGATCACAAATCAATGAATACTTGGACCATGGATGATTCAAATACTGTAATCACATCCCCGATCCCCATAATTAGTTTCTGGTCCCAAGTATATACATAAATTAAAGCCCCTACATTTACCATGGTTTCTGGGGGGTCTTTAAGGGATTAGTTTAGTAGCATTAATCGGATTCTGTATGACATTTATCACAATTCTGCTCCCTGCAGTGACGAATGATGTCGGAATGTACAGAACCAACAGCGACGGGGATGCGGTGTCTGAGTCAATGGGGGCCCTTTTGAACCCCAATGGTCGATAGTTTGGCTGGGTTTTCAACGGTTGATATTTGGACAACACTAACTTTTGGGGTATGAGTCAAATTTGGATACCCCCAAAGTTGTTTTTTTCCCCCAAACATCTTATACCAGTCCATCCGTGACTCCGAAGGTTGAACAACAAGATAGACCAACACCCATAGGATTTTGGTGAACTCGACATTTCTATAGTTAAAAGAATGTTAAAAGATGTTAAAAGAACCATTGTTTCTATATTTTTTTTGCTGTGGAACAGGGTGGAATTTCGCCAATGCGGATGTGAGGACTTCAGTAACCGGCTTTTGGAGCACTGCATGAAGGATGGGCTGGCCAAGCGGAGCCAAGCGGGGTAGCATCACTAGTCTTGGACGATGGTGAAGATGTATAGTTGGGTTGAGTGCATGGGAAAACTCGGATTCAGTACTCCAAAAAGTCACCTTTTGCTGGATCGGATTCAGTGCACGCACCAGAAAGGTACTAGATGGAGGTATGCCTACCAAGAGGTTTTTTTTGGATGATGGCGACCCCCGTTTTTGTGGCTGTTTGGTGGATCTTCAAGGCTATCAGCACTGTTTTTGAGCGTTTTTTTGGCCTGAAATCAGGAGTTTGAGAGGAAGAATCGTGGCAAGGACAGCAGCTTGCCCGGACTATGATAAGCTCATCGACAGGGATTGGGATTGGAATACACACTGTCAGAAAAAAACTATGCGCCATCTACTTTTCAGGTGGTATGGAATCACACAATTCATTCCTACTTGGATTGTTATATGGATGCTATATGTGTGATATAGCCAGGTGGGGAAACCTACGGCTGCACCATGACATAACCATGCCACACATCCGCGCAGGATGTACGCTCCAACCAGCGTGCCTTGCGGCGATTGCAGGTAGAATGTGACACTGCTAGCGACGCCCAGAATTCGGATGACGGAATGCGGATGGGGATGGCAGTGGGATGGCCCCATAGACATGGCATCTGGATGACTCGTCATCCAATTGGGAATCCATTTTTGGATAACACAATAGACAATAATATATCAATACTATATCAATAATATCCCCATTGTCTTTTTCGGGATATGGGGATTGATCCAACCATGGATTCTAAGAGTTGGGAGCAGGCTAGGATTTGATCCGCTCACCAATGATTGCAGTAGCTCAGTAGCGCAACAACAAGCTGAAGAAGCACATCATGTTCAGGAACTGTTAACTTTCTCTGTCTACCGTTCCGGAAATTGTGGGTTCCACCATTGTGACGTGACCGGAACCACTTTTTTTTGGTAGGTTTCTGACGGTTTCTGATGGCTTCTGGCCAACTTATGGCAGCAACAATGGTTGGTTGGACAACACGTATCTACCATCCAGTAGTCTAGCCTAAAGCTGGAACATCCATGAAAATCCTAGAGTCTTATCCATTTTAGAACATATTCCCACTGAAGCAGGACTTCCCATGCTATGTTTGATTCCGAAAACAGGTCCCATTGGAAGCACTGAGGCCAAGAAGACCTTATCCTCATCCACACAGGCCACCATTGAGGCCTGACTTCTAACCTTCAGATACTTTCAGCATACTTTCAGCAGTACTTCAGCACCCCTAAAGAAGTTTGGGAAGTTTGGAAAACACACAACTTTCTTGAAAGATCAACTGATCAACTCAGACTTCGTGTTCTAAGCCACTCTCTTTTTGGACATTTCACAGGTGGATTCTCTGCTGGATGGCATCGATTTCTCCTGTAGCATCTCTCGAGCCAAGTTCGAGGTGGCAGCGTTACTGCGTTGGATGGATGCTGTGGGGTTCATGTGATATATGATATATATACTGTATATATATATAATGAAACAGTATAGACCAGCTTATGTATTTATGGATGTGATATGGATGTGATTGTATATTGTTGTGTATGATCGAACGGGATTGTATATGCATATATTTATATATATTCACATATGAATACATCCGATCTATGGTAATTCAATACGTACGATGTAACTGTAGATACGAATGTGTATGTGTGTGTACACATACACACAATTCACGCCACATGGCATCGTGCAAACACAAGCAGTACTGTATATGCACACAGATACATATATGTTGCAAGGAAGCCAATGTACACCCTTTCTCGTCTGGTATACCTCAATGATCCATGATAATCTTAGACATCCCCAGTGACAGACCTTGGCTCCAAACTTCAAACTGTAGAGCTAGAGGGATATCCCCGACTCTCTCAGGTGTAGGGGGAATATATGGGGATTTATGAAGATTTTACATATAATTCCTGCAAAACTCTTCAGCTGGTGGTTTTGAATCTTAGGGATCTATGGGATCATTATCTCATTTTCAGAAAGACTCCATGAGATATTTTAAGGGGAGAGAAGCACCCAAATGATGAGGCACAATCCCCACAATCCCTGACATTAGATACCATAGATAACCTGGAATCCGTTTTTTTTTGGCCAGGAACTGAACATGGATCTCTTCAAACGCTCCATGGAGTCCGTACAGAAGGTCCAGCTTTTCCAGAAAGGCTGTGAATTGTCGTTGGGGATGGAGCACAGAGCCAGGAAAACACCGCAGTGCCAAACTCATCTCGGCCTTCCTTTCTGACGTATCATTTTGATGTACTTTGGGTCCCAGAAGATGGCCATCCAACTTGTTTTTGCCCCGGTCAAGTTCATTTTTTTGATTAGAACTATGTTGTGATTCATTATTATCAGGTATCAAGTGCTTTTTTATGTTTTTTAAAACATTTGTTTGAACGACCTTTTCCTTTTTATTGCTGTTAGTTTTCTTATGGCTATCATTACTTATCGTTGTTATTGCGATTATCATTATAACCATAATAATTAGTAGTAATTCTTATTATTGCAATTATCATCCAAACACGTCATCTACTATGCTTGTATTATCACCCAATCAAAACATAATTATCCAAGAAACCATAATGATGCACGATACGATACGATTATCAGGATTTATCATTATTATTAGGAACAGCTAGTAGTAATTCTTATTGTTACGTTTTTTTTTCATTACTTATAGGGTTATTATTATAGCATAATTATTCTTATCATTATCATTACTGTGTATCATTAGAAGTATTAGTATTCTTATACCATTTTGTCACTGTTACTCACTATGTTATTATATATAATAATAATCATATCATAGAATTATATTTGTCAGTATTCTCTCATGATGTGTATATATATATACATATACATATGTTATATATATATATGTATATATATATATATACAAGTATGGGCTTGTCTGAAAATGGTGTATACCCCCAAAGATGGTTCTACGGAAGGGACAATGATCATGAACCCATGGGTTTTTGGGGCTGCGAGGTCTTGGAGGATGCCAAGGTGGAACGCAAGGCGGTCGATGAGGCGATGCGGAGGATTCCCATGACGTCGCCCGGTGGTGCCCGGTGGTGTGGTTGGTTTTTGGGGGATTGGCCGAAAAAATGGCCTTATTTCCAGTTGGTGAATTCTTGTAATTTATCCAAATTCATAGGGATTGAGCAATTTGCTTTGGATTCCATGGGGATGGATGGCCATAAATCATAAAAATCACTTGTAAACTGACCCTAGCTGGTCAGTTTTAGTATCGACCGTCCAATTTGGGGGGTATTACATTTTGACCCATACCAAAATTTCTTATTGTCATTATAACCATAATACCAAAATGAAGTTGTTATTGTGATTCTCATAAATAATTCTGTTGTCATACTGTACTGGATCATGTTTATAAATTCTCGGAGGTTATTAAAAAATTGCAATGACACCATGACAAGTGACAAATGACGCCCCTAAGCAATGAGGCTTCCTCAATAACACGCCTCAGTTAGGCCTCAAAAAGATATACACTAGTTATGACATGAATCCCCCGAATGGTCACAAACCTACAGTACCTGTCTGATTGATTGGGGATTCTGAAGTGACATAAATATGGGAATCTGTTGATGACAGGTAGTTCTCATTGGTGGCTCCACCCGCATCCCCTATGTGCAGAAGCTGATCGAGGCGTTTGTTGCACTCAGGGGATCGGGATTCACCAAACAGCAAGCGGCTGACGATCCCTTGCTGGATTTTTTGGGATTCCCAAAATTGATCCAAAAACCTGCTATCTCTTCGTCAGGTGGGGTTTGGAATATGATCATTTCGCCAGGATGATAACGACCTCACGTCGCGACGTCACTGGAATGTTTTTTTTGGGTGGTAACTATCCTCAAATGGCCACAATTTTCAGCGATGTTCTTTTCATCTATGTGAATTCTTGTATTTCAGCCAGATGGGATATGGGTATGGGTCAATACCTACAGATACCATTTTTAGTGGGATGAACATCCATTTACCAGCTATTTTGGGGTTCACTAGGGTACCAAGGTTTTGACTCATACCCATATACTGATAATTACTGATATACAACCAACAACACTCAGAAATTGGATGATACAGTCCTTGGCAAAACATGTGCCTGCGTGATGGCTGGAAGTTTGGTGCCTGTCCCCTTTTCTGCCAGTTCTCGCAGACGAACGCGCCAAGTGGACGCACACCGTCCAGCCTGGCTGGATGTTTCCCGATTTACCCGATTTTATAGATGATCTTCCCAGCTAGAAAATGTATTCAAATGTGATAAAAATATATATATAAATATATAAATAAATATATATATATATAAATATCCGAAATATCCATTGAGTTCGCGGATTTTCCAGCCATGTTTGATGACGGATGACGGAGGGTCGTCAGATTTTCCACTCCGGTCGCAGGATTACTTCGGCAAGGAGCCGTGTCGATCGATCAACGCCGATGAGGCAAAAGTTGAGAATCCTTGCAACGAACAATTGGAAAACATGGGAAAACTGGGACATAGGTCGGGTTAAAGCATGTTAAAGCCTTTTTGGTTATGACTTGTAACTGAAAATGGAAATACAACGAAATATATGACTTGTAATAACTGAAAATGGAAATATTTGAAATAACCCAACAGTTTGTAGAACCACTTCTGAGTTCTAAATGCACCCTGCGGAGCCCCCCAAGTGGTTGCAAAGCTCGCAGTGACCAGGCCGTAGCCTATGGGGCAGCGGTGCAAGCTGCAGTGTTGTCTGGCAACAAGGCCTTGATCGACGTTTTGATCGTTTTGGGTGTCTGGCAGAATGGCAGTTTTCATCCATTTTCATGTGGGTATGGATCAATACCTATTAATACCATTTTTAGGGGGATGAACATCCATTTACCAGCTATTTTGATGTGAACTACAGGGGTACAAGGTTTTGACACACTGCCATGTGAAAATAATGACATGATGATCCCCCATTGACTTCAACAAATGACAAAAAACCTGACTTATCGTGGCCAGGGCAAGGACTCTCCGTTGAAGGACATCGTCCTGCTGGATGTCACGCCTTTATCCTTGGGTCTGGAAACCGCTGGCGGCGTCATGACGAGGCGCGATCCAGTCAGGTGTGCAGAGTGTAGAGGGGGAAATGATCTGTTCATGCAACAGTTGAAATTATTAGGCATGTGACGGCATGTGTCATGTTTGTGTTATTTGTTTTTGTTTGCATTATATGTACTGAATATACATATATATATATATATGTTATGTGTACTATACTATATATGTATAGCATAGAGGTGAGATTTCTCAGCCATCAATCTTAATTCCTTTTCGTAGTCGTAGTTTAAAAAAAGTATATAGGATGACGGCCCTGAAACAATTGGACGCACAGACAGCTGCCCAGCATTGCCCAACATGACAAGGCTCATTGAGAGAAACTCCACCATCCCAACCAACAAGAAGCAGGTGGAAGTTGGGTGCGGCTGTGGCTGTGATGCGCTCGACATGAAACAGCAATTTTTGAGTCTTCAAATTGGGGCATCGCAGGAGAGCGCTCTACAAGAATTGTTCATTGAGGGTCTTACGGGGTAGGACACATTTTCTTTTCAGGATTTGAGTTTCTCTTTGCTCTGCTATATTCTTACATCCCAGAGTTGAGCTGGGACGTGCATGCCAAAGTCTAGCAGATGGCTACATCATGGGTTTCATGTACGTACAGCAATGTACAGCACATGTGTATATAACGTATTTGCATCAGTGTGTTTCTAAACCACCTTTTCCAACATCCGGAATATGGGCAGCAGAAGACCAATGTATATTTACAGTGTATATATATATTTCTTTATTTCTTCCTTTCTTCCTTTCTTTCTTTCTTTCTTTCTTATTATTATAGATTATATACACATCCTTTCATGTATTTGGGAGTTTAGTTTTGACCCACACCAGCATTTCGATTGATGATACATTTGGCAGTTTCCCGCACCATGGCCCCGTTGCATGAGGTTTTCTCCACCTACTCTGACAACCAGCCTGCCGTGACCATTCAGGCGTTGGAAAACGTGGACCAAGGGAAGGATATCAGAGAGGCCCTAGATCTGTACCCTCTGGTAGACTAAGATAGCTATTGAAAATGGCCATTTATAGTTGATTTACCAATTGAAAAAGGTGTTTTTCCATAAATATGTTAGTTTACCAGAGGGTATTTTTTGGATTCTAGGAAGCGAATCAAAACTACTTCGAGCACTATCACGAATTCCATTTGCCATCTCTCCTGATGATCTCATTGTATCTAAATATGATTAAATGAAATTAGATGAGATGATAGATGAGATACACATGTAATATCATTTATCTACTTCACCTATCATCGCCGTTGTATCCTTTTTGTCCTTTTTGGCATTTCTTTGATTCTTAAGTCCTCATGATTTTCTTCACAGGTTGCCGAGTAGCTGGTCAATGGATGTTCATCCCTCCACGAAAAACATCCGTCGGAATGATGGGAAATGGATTCGGGGATCTCCGTGGTTGGCCGTATAAAAACTGCTATGTTGATGGCTTGGTGAATGGTGAGTTATGACAATTCAGCCGGATTAATAGTTTGAAATACACTGGCGGGTACTCCCCCAAAAGTGGCAAATCATATCAAACAAAACCTCAAGATTGTACATACTGTATGTATTATGTAGGGCCCCCCCCACATGGGTTTGTTTAAAAATGGTTCTACCTTCAAATACAGCCCACTTCATAGGGAAATTGGTGATATTTGGTGATGAACCATGAAAGTGTCGAGTCTAGTTCTTATCAAAGCCACACATTAGGACACCCCTTTGAGGGACCTGACGGGGAAGCATCCCCGGGTCCCCAGGTCTATGAAGGCGAACGATCCATGACGAGGTGCGAAGTGTATCGAAGTGTCGTGTCTTTTTTGCTGGCGGCTTCATGTAAGAAACTTCGAGGTCTCAGCTCAGTTTCCTTGACGTTTTGATAAGAACACGATGTATACATATTTATAATTATATATATATAATTATATATATATAATTATATATATAATTATATATATACACATGATATTTGTTTATATATATATATACACATAATATGTATGTATATATATATATATGTATAATATGTACATATATATATATATATATACATTATAGCCAATTATAGGCCACATTATACCATATTATGTGCATTCCATTAAGTCTTTGATGCGTTTTGTGAAGAACATGCATCCCTTTTCTGCCTCACGGCGACAAATGGAACCAGGTTTCCCGAGGTTTCTTCACATCTCATCAGGATTTTACGGTGTTGGATGTTTTGGTCTTTGCGATCTTCAGGGTTGAACATCTTCTTTTCATAGAGTCTTTCAAATCACCTTCATATTCATCTTCAGGTGTGATCTTCAGCGTTTAATATCTTCTCATTGAGTCTTTCAAATCACATCAATCACCTTCATACCCATCAAAATATGGCCACTTTGATGGGGCAATGGATAATAAATCACCTTCATATCGACTCCTTATTTGAAAGTCCCCTTTTCGTGGCACCGCCTGGCACCGTGGCGGTTTGTGCAGGGACAATCGCTTGTTGGGATCTTTCAATCTCGATGGCATTCCACCTGCTCCTCGGGGGGTCCGGTTGCTCAACCGGAGGGGTGTCATCAAACGTCGAAAATCCGGCATTTTATAGATGATGTTCCCATATTTTCCCATAAAAAACATAAAACAAACACAATTTATAGAGGATTTTGATGGATTTTGTAATTGCCATGTTTGAGTACCAGAGTGATAGTACGAGAGATTGCAAAGAGCAAGTGACATGAACGCCATGAGCTCTCGCCGCGGTCACCTCACAAGTACTGCTCAGCATGTCTCCCTGCGCACCAGAACTACGGTGATTCCATGAAAAAGTACCCTCTGGTAATTTAACATAGCTATTGAAAATGGCCACTTATAGTGAGTTTTCCCATTAATAATGGTGATTTTCCATAGCTATGTTAAATTACCAGAGGGTACCAAAGTATTCCATGATTATCGGATTGGCTCAAAAAGACATCCCCAAAAAAAAATGGTTGAAGAATTGAGAATCACTGGCACCAAAAATACTCAAATGGACGCAAATGGTTGTTCTACTAAAACTCTTCAAGGTCTAATTTCTCTCGCAAACTATCCCTGAATCACTCACACGTGGCAATGGACAATTCAGCATTTATCTCGATGTATAGTTTATGATTTTCCCACGAAAGCTCCATTTAGTTCGGGGATTTCCATCATCAATCGACGTTGGAAAAAACCCGAGGCTAGCCCTAGCCACCTAGCCATAGCTAGCAGGTGCCCAAGATCGAAGTCGCCTTCGACCTTGACTCCAATGGGGTGCCAAGACCTACACCCCCAAGTGGTGGATGTAGGTTTTATCAATGAACAAAAGTTGACTTAAAAGCAACGCATCTTAACCAATGGATTGGCTTAACATGGCTTAACGGAAAATCTACAGTTTTTACCAATCCATTGAATCTTTGGGACTGAAACCAATAGGGGGGATGTAACCAATATGGGGATGGGGTCTATGTTAGTTTGGGGGATGGTACAATACATTGCAGAAGCCACGAAAAGGATAGAACAGTAGCATCCTATCAATATATAGTGGTAAATTGATGTAAATTGTTCTTCTATCTTTTTGGGGGTTACCATATATATTCCACATATATAAAGCATAGATTATCACATGATATGTGCGCACATCTGAATTTACATTGGAATGGCTGTCTGTTTTTGACGGCCTTGGATGGCTTGGATGGCACAATTTACAGTACCAAACATGACCAACTTGAGGTTCAAAGATTTGCAGAACATGGGGATACAACCAAGCAACAGATCATGGGGTACAGTGACTGTAGCCTCAGCAGTTGTTGGCGAAGGACTGCCAAACGTTGGAAAAGCCCAGCTATTTTCCCAGAACGCTCAGCACGGGGGTGGTATTCTGATTACTGTATTGTCCATCTTTATTTTTGCAACTATATCATGGTTTGATGAAGCAGACTCTACCTGAAAATGAGGGCCATTTCCTGCCAACTGGCATCGAACCTGGGCCCAGGGACGGGCCATGCAGATATTTTCCAAGTGACAGGATAGAGAGAACATTGCGACCCAACAAAAAATTCGACTGGGGTGAAACATGCACAAACATGCACAAACATGCACAAACCATAATGATATGCCGATATGCCAATTGGGATTGTTCTTGAAGGACTTGGAATGCCCATGACTGACCAAGAACTTACCCGGCTGCAGATCCTTAATGTCTCTGCTGCAGATCAGACCACTGGCAAGTCGGGGCTCCTCAGCTGTTGCAACTGCCTGTAGCCAACAAGAAGGACTTGATGGAAGCTCGGACAGCTCGAATCCGAAAAACAAGTTCTATATACTTATTGCTCGTGTTTTTCATCTCCATTGTTGTTGTTTTTTTGACATCACATGACGGACTGCTGTTGATGAGTTCATCTTCACCATTCCCAGCAGATGGGCCCAGCCCAGGTCCAATAAGATTACAATCACCAACGAGAAAGGACGCCTTTCAAAGGATGAGCTACTTGGTGATAAAACTTTTGGATTCCCCGAATGGGGAAATCAACAATTCGGGGAAGCGACTGGGAATTCTTGTTTTTTTTTTAAATGTGACCCTTTAGGCAAATCAATGTCAGGATGTCAAACATTTGATGTTTCAATTGGTTTACATTTTGGGGGTGGTCCCTATTGGAAAGCAGGTCTCAGGGGATTTTTTTGGTGCAGGATTCAGGCCAAATATTTTGCTATCGATCAGACCATGTTCACTTTCACCGGTTGTTTCTCACCAATTCCGTATGGCCTTGCGAACTAAATTGTGGCGAAGAAACTTTAGACCCTGCGACCCACGGATTGACAGATTATGCAGAGTTATAGATATCTATCCAGATTTATAGATATATTTTACATCCACACGATATACATATTCATCATATTCTAGTTTGTATCTATATGCCAATCCCTTTATGGTGTACCCGACATGCCCGCCATGTAGTGATTTTTGGTGTACCCGACAAAGCCCAGGATCGAGCGCATGGTGAAGGTTCGGCCAGTACGGGGGGACTTCCTGGATGGTACAGTGAACTGCCTGCTGCTGGAGATTTGACTTACAGAAGCTTACATTTATATAATTCATAATTATTTTTTTACACATGTATAATTCACATTTTTTTGTTTTATAACACACATATATATATATACTGTAAACATACGTATATACCGTGTATATGTATGTATAATATGTATATGTATATGTATATGTATATGTATATGTATATGTCTATATATATATGTATATGTATATGTATATGTATATGTATATGTATATGTATATGTATATGTATTACAGTATATGCATTACAGTATATGTATTACAGTATATGTATTACAGTATATGTATTACAGTATATGTATTACAGTATATGTATTACAGTATATGTATTACAGTATATGTATTACAGTATATGTATTACAGTATATGTATTACAGTATATGTATTACAGTATTATATGTATTACAGTATATGTATATGTATATCTATATGTATATGTGGCTTCGGGCCCGTTTCCGGCGTTATTTTTTACGAGGTTTTCTACACGTGGTGATTTGCACTCAAAAGTCGTGTGAGTCAGACAGTGTTTCTGTGTGTTGCACTTCGAAGCATTGTGGGTGGAGACATCTGAAACACCGCAGGGGCTGCCTGGCGTCTCTGCACATGGTCGCGGAGCTTGGTCGCGGAGCTTGGTCGCGGAGCTTGGTTGCGGAGCAATTGGTAGGCGGAGCGGAGGCGGTGAAGAGAGAGATCCAGAGAGAGAGGGGAAGAGAGAGGGAAAGAAAGAAGCCCCACAGTGCAGAAGCAAGGTGCTAGCAGAGGATAGGAAAGAGACTTTTCTCCAGTGAAGGAAGCTGTTCGGAGCAGCTCGGAAGCTAGTCGGACGGCTAGATTGGCATTCCTCGAAAGCCCAAGTTTTGCTCGTAGCCTTTTTGCGCATGACACTGTGCCCGGTCGCTGCGAAGTCCGCGAGGTGATGTTGCGTGGGAAAAAAGTCCGGTGCCATTAGTTGAGTGTCAGCCTTCTCATTGGCACTTGCATCTTATCATGTCGAGCTTGAAGTTGATTTCTTTGACAGGTCCACACAGCTCTCTGCAAGGAGTACTTGAACAATGGGAGGCCGAGGGAAGCTGGAAGCTCAGACAATGCTTCGTGCAGCGGGCTTAGCCTGCGGGCTTATCAGACAGTGTTTTCTCAACACGGTGTTTTTGCACTGCACTAGTGGGAGCACGATTGTGCGATGTCTGGCATGTTCTCACAGCCAGTCTTTTGCCAACATGGTGTTTTGCACTATACTAGTGGATGCAGGCTTTGCGCGAGTTCTGGCGCGTTCTCACAGCCAGTGTTTTGCCAACACGGTGTTTTGCACTATACTAGTGGATGCAGGCTTTGCGCGAGTTCTGGCGCGTCCGCACAGCCAGCGTTTTGCCAACACGGTGTTTTGCACTATACTAGTGGATGCAGGCTCTGCGCGAGTTCTAGCGCGTTCTCACAGCCAGTGTTTTGCCAACACGATGTTTTGCACTATCCTATAGTGGATGCAGGCTCTGCGCGACTTCTGGCGCGTTCTGACAGCCAGTGTTTTGCCAACACGGTGTTTTGCACTATACTAGTGGATGCAGGCTCTGCGCGAGTTCTAGCGCTTTCTCAAGGCCACGGTTTTGTAAATATGGTTTGCTACTATTTTATTACTGTTGGAAACGAGCCCGGAGCCCGTAGGAACATAGCGGTTTCATCCTTTAAAGTCTAATAGTATAACCCCGGCAACATAAAGGTCATGAGGTCCCCACCCCTCTGCAGGCATTTCAGGCGGGCTGCCGCGCGGCGTGAATGAGTGTGTCTGGTGTGTAAAGAAGCGCAAGAAGAAGTGTTTACCTAGTTAACTCCTTTAGAAAACACATGATTTACATGACTCCCATAATGCTACACACAGTTACAAGCACATAGATGTACAGGCACTATGTACCACGCTTACGCTTATTTTTCGGGGGTTAGGAGTAAGCTTGCCGAACGCCATGGAGCGTCTGCCATACGCCGTAGTCGCCGCACGTGGAGACAGTAACGAAGACACGGGGGTGCCTGCCCCGGGGAACCCGGCCGGCAGGCGCCCACGCAGCACCAGCCCGCAGACGCCGCCGGCAAACCATTGGCAGTTGATGTTGGGCCCTACGCAGCGACTACCGCAGTCACCACGCAGCCGAGCTCTGCAAAACTTGGTCAGGCGTGCCGGTGCCTGAACCTGTCCAGGAGGATTGGCTGATGGTACTTTGTATCCTTGCTGTACGAGTACTGTGATGGATAAGTTGTGGCAGGCAGCTTTCAATTTTTGCGTGGCGTGCCCATGTTCGCCTTTTTTTCACCTGGAAACAAACCAGGGACTGTGGCCGGCAGGTACAAAGAATTAGAGTGGCAGGCGCACGTGACTCTTTTTTCACCACGGTGATCGTCGTTGCGACATGGATGCGCGCTGCAAAAACAAAGGCTGCGTAGCCGTGTGTGAAAACACTGCAAAAAAGAACGCCTGTAACAGGCCCTAAACCGTATATGTATATGTATATGTATTACATTATATGTATTGCAGTATATGTATTACAGTATATGTATTACAGTATATGTATATGTATATGTATATCTATATGTATATGTATATGTGTCCACCCTTGTCATTTTTGCCCCTGGTGAGCCACTGATTTCTGCCCCTAAGATCTCTGACCCAGGCACTGGAATGGCTGTCTTTCAAAGTTGCGTCTATCGATGGTTGGGTTCATGTGTGGATCTGTGGATCTACAGTGGCACCACTTAAGAATCACATCTTATTATGGTGATACTAAAATTGTCTAATTTGGATGATTTTGGGGTACCATCATTTTAGGAAACATTTAGGAAACCACCATATGTGTGTATATATATATATACATTTATTGTATACACACCATATAAATATATACACATATGGACACCATTATATATACATATACATATATATATATACATATACATACATATATATATATATACATACATGGGATGCATGCATGATATGTATTTAAATCACCAATGTTAGACATATCATTCCAGTCAATCATGGTACTTTTTGCATGCTGTGCTTGTATCACCTAGCTGTTTGGATGGTGAGCAGGCAAACCAGGGAGGAAGTGTCAGATCCCCTCAAAGAAGATTGCCTCCGTGAGAAAAATCGGCAATTTGGGCGATTTTTTTGATTTATTTCAACCTTCGAGTGTGCAGATTGTTCTACTTAGGTACCACTTCATCCCACCGATTAGCCAACTGAGAGTGTTGACTGCCAAAACAACCCATTTTGACGGAACTTCAATTTACCCTGAGACGGGATATGCTCACAAAGCCATCGACATCAGTCCAGTCTTTTAACCTCCCAAGATGTGGATCCTCACGCTGGCATCTGCTGCTGTGGTTGAAGGAAGCCGAGCAGTTTCGACAAGAAGACGAAATTGTGCGAAAAAATGTGGAGGCCGCCTCCTTTGGCTTTTTGGCAAGTTGGATCCAGTTGGTGCACGCCAATTTCACACCAATTATGGCCTCAAAGACGCGTTGTTCCTGATCAGAAGCAATGTTTGGTGCCCCATGTGGTGGACCTGTCAGGCCCGAAATGAGTTGGAAAGATACGTCTACTCAGTGAAAGGCGACTGTGTCCAGTGTCCGGATGCTTCAAATGGGCTATGGACGGGTTCACAGCCATGATACTAATACATACTAATACCTCATGAAATTCGTGAAAATGTGGTGCTAGCCCAATGTCATCAACCATCCCCCAGTCATCACCATTCTTATGGTTTGTTTTGTCACCATCAAAGTATGGTTGATTTATGGCCCGTGATCCCACGAGGTCCAGGGATAGAATTGGTATTGCCGTGATCGTCGATGTCCCTGTGCTGATGGTCTTGGGGAGCCTGAATCTAGACTTAAATTTCCTGCATTTTTTTTTCCGGAAATAAAACACATCAGTGATATCACTGATATCAACTGGTTGGTGGTTTGAAAGAACGCCAACTGCTTGGCCGTTTCTGTCAGATGCTCCCTGGACAGCATCGCCCCAACCAGGCTCCTTAGATCGGGAGGACCTGAAAGAAAAGTTCACTGAAGAAGATCGTTCCAAGGCAGGGGTTCATGCCCCATACTGTAGGTCAGCAGAGATGTGCTTTTTCTCGGGGAAAAAAGGGGACGAAACTTGGAATCCAACTGCGGCTTCACGAAAAATCGGAGAACCTGCAATTGGATACTTTATATTACTTTATGATATTTCATTTATTCACTCCCAACGGGGAGAACACCTCCTTTAGCAGGCATCCTTCCAGTCTTGAAAACATCCGATCCTAGATCTCTGAAGCTGTGGAAAGTGCGCTGAAGTGGTTTGAGGAGAACCCGCAGGTGCAGCTGGAGCAAGATGGTTCTCTACTTCGTCCCTCATACCTTAGATATCTATGGTTAGTAAGGAGAATTATCCCCCCCAAATTATTTCGATCAGGTTAGTGAATTATTACAATTTACCCAGATATCTATGGATGATACATCTCATTCTGCTTGTGAGTCATGAACAAATGTAAATGCTGCAATGCCATCGGCCCCCCATCACAGAATAAGTGTTTCGTCAAATCTGGAACCCTCGAAGACACGCATTTCTTCCGAGTCCCCTTGAATGGGCCCAAAAACCGGTCGTCCACTACATCAAAAAAACAATTCACCAAAAAATCCAAAAAACATGACTTTCCATTTTTCATCATTTTTCTGGTTCCCCAAGAAGTTCGGATTTGCTTTTTTCCCTCATGTTCCCTCCGTTGGAAAAAATGTGACGAAGCATCCGAGGCGGATGCTGCTGCCCATGAGGCGAAACACAAGGACTTGGAGGCGAAACAGCCTTTTCTTTCACCATTTAAACACCAATAACACCACAAGGCAATATGAGATAATAGAAGATACCATTAAAATCCATTAAACATATTATAAAACCACCACTTCCCTGGTTTTTTCATGGTGATTTGGAATTGCTCTTCGCATCTCCTCGCTGTTTCCTGCCAGGGAGTTGTGAACCCCATCATGGTGAGGCCGGGAGCTGGGAAGGTCCCCCAATAGCTGGATAGTTTATTTGTGTTTATGTCATGGAAATTTGTATTGAAAATCCATCAATGGATGATTTAGGGGTAGCCCCATGGATTGGAAACCAACATCTTAGACCATCTTAGACCTTCACAGACCAGAGTTACCACCTCGATGTGGCTGGCTGGCTCCCCTAGGAAGACACGGTCTTGAAGTCCCCAGTAGTCCCGACACTCTCCAGATGGGCGTCCCCACATGTCCCCACCATTGGAGAACAACTAACAACCAAAACATATTGTGGATGGAAGAAATCCTGCACCAATTGATAGATGGTTTATCATACGGTTTATCCGTTTATCCCATTATTTATATGGTTTATCATACGGTTTATCCCATTATTTAATATTATTTATAGGGTTTTAACCATCCAAGGTGGTGCAGGATTTCGTCACCATCCACCGTATGAGTGAACATGTCTGAAGATGTCTGAAGCTTTTGGGGGAAAAACCATATAAAACCATATAAGAACCATATAAAACCATACAATTAAAACCATATAGAACCATATAGAACCATATAAAAACCATATAAAACCATATAAAACCATATAATTAAAACCATATAGAACCATATAAAAACCATATAAAACCCTATAAAACCCTCACATTTCACTGTTGATTTCCAGCATTTTTCCCACATGTTGTCCAGGATTTACGGAGACCAGCCGCCGCAAGATGCACCGCGCTGAGTTAGGGGGTGCTACTGTGATGATGCTGTGATGGGTGCCCAACCAACGGGATATGATGGGATTTTGATGGATTTTGATGGATTTTGATGGGATTTTATTTTGAAGAATATGTATATACCATCTGGTTAAGTCTGGTTATGACTGACAGTTCGCCATGGAAAATCCATCGGATTTTGATGGATTTTGATGATGACCAGAAATTTGGTGCAAAAAATCCATCGATGGATTGGTTTAGTTGTGGATAATGAAATCCCATGGGATTGCGAAAAAAAAAACCATCTGGTTATGACTCACAGTTCGCCATGGAAAATCACTAATAGGTAAACCGTTACTATTTCTATGGGCCATCATTTCCCATGGCGATGTTAGTCATAACCAGAGGGTATTTTTCACCAGAGGGTATATAGCATTATACACCCATGATTGACAAATTGATGGGAGTATTCTATCTATACTTCCACGACCATATCATCCCTGATCGTCCCGGATCATCCCCAAATGGCACAACTCCAACTGGGCCGCTGGGCCGCTGGGCCCACAGGATTCCTCCCAATAGCAGGCTGGAGCATGGTGGAGACAGGGTGTAGATGGTACCAACATCAGCATCATCAGCTTGCAACTATGATGGCTTGGTTTCTTGAAAATGGTTGAAAATTAGCCTTTTTTCCAGTGATTTGTCTAGAAAGCCTCCTGTTCGAAAATTTTCGCAAGGCTCCAGTGGTGGCAGATGGCCGCGCTGCAGAGCCTTAGAAAGACCACATTGTACAGGGCCCCACATCGTGCTGAGATGGAAAATTCTGGTGGACGCTGCGGGTGGGTCTGGTTACCAGTTGAAGACCAGCGTTTTGTGATCATTTCTGTAAGTCTTCTGTGGGTCTACTTGGTGGCTCATCCCACTTAGTAAGTGGGTTATAACCCCAGTTATAAGTGGATTAACCCTACTTATCCCATTTATAACTGGGGTTATAACCCACTTACTAAGTGGGATGAGCCACCAAGGATCGGACCCTTAAAGCCTTCCCTGGTTCAGCATGGTTCAGGGGAGATTCCCCAAACACCATGGGCGGCTACCATCCTGTTTCGCCACGAAAAGAGCTTGGAACAATGGGCAATGAACATCCACGTACCACGTATTGAAAGAGATTCACCAGGGATCACCAGGGTATCTCGGGTGTGATCCGTACGCCATGTTGCTGGCGTGGGTCAGGGTCAAGGACTCTATACTCAGTACTCTATATACTACTGTATAATTTAGAATTACTCTATAAATATACTATAATCTATACCACTTTGCAACAAGTACAACATATGCGTAGCAAATTAGGTCCAGAGATGCAGCCTAGCATTATTTAGCACTGCAAACCAACATCAGCGTACCTGCATTGAGTGGTTTTGGAGATTCCACTCCGATTTACAGGATTCTACTGGGGATTCGGCTGATGATTTCATACTCGGGATCACCTCAAACCAAATGCATTTCCACCTTCATCAGCTCAAAGTACCGGGAAAACCTGGGAAGGACTCACAGATTTTGAAGTGTTGAAAAAAATGGTTGTGCATAGGCAAAACGACAGTCAAGCTGGAAAGATTTGGACAGTGGGCTGCATTCTTGACCGGTTGACGGCTTCTTGTACCGTGGCGATAAATGTCAAATACAATGTGGTTATACTCGCTGAAGAAATGCAAGATTGACATGGCACATGTTCAGAACAAATCTCAGGTCAATCAATGGCGCTTCATTTGGATACTGGTGAGTAGGTATGCGTCTGGTGTACTGGTTAGGTTCAAAATAGTTTTTTTTTTTTAAACTCCCTCACAATTTGGATGGTCAAAGCCCATTTTTTGATGGTGAACCTTCCATTGTTTGATGGGTACATCACACATCAACCTCATCAACCATCCACCGCGATGAAACAACGGGTGCCTATGGGGCCATGATGTGGCTGTGAGGCGAAGTTTCAGCGGAAATGTAGACCCCATTTTAAAGAGAGATTTGCTATGTAATTTGAGTATAGCCTTTTAGATCCATGCCGATCTGGATGATACTGCTCTGTTGACACACGCCTTTCCAACCCTTCGCATCCATGGTATCACATGGATGGCTGCAATTCCCTGGAGCATTTAGGGCTTTCCTAAGTCACGGGGGTAGCCGCAAATCATCCAGTCGTCATGGATGACCATGACATCCATTGACTTAGTATATGTCAACCCATGGTGACTCGGGGATCCCCCAATCAGAAAGGACATCTCCATTTCACTGGATTGTTGGCCATTGATGGTTTCTTCAACTTTTCATAAGTACACCGAGTGCAGCTGCGCGAGGTTGCGCGAGGTTCGACTCTTTCCAGGCATCTCCAGGTGCCGCGAAACCGGATCCGAATCAGTCGGAATTGCGGTCACAAGAAATTAATGGGCTACTGGGTCAACGGCTGGTGAGATACTTTCAAGTACTTTAATCTTTTGCTACGAAAGGTAAAACATGTACTAACCAGCTAAACATGAGATCTTTTGACAGATAATTCTCATTAATTATCTAAGATTCAGCATGGTGAATTGGTGGGTCAACCAGGACAAAAAAAGGAATTGAAGCAACAAACATCTATTGTTTTTTGATGGGACATGGTAGAATAATGGAGAATCATGGAGGGGAGAAATCTATCCCATCTTTGGAGAAACCTGGATGCAGCAATGAACACATTGCTGCGATTTTTTGGTGCCGAATGAAACCAATTTCGGCTGGTTTCCAGTCACAAGCCTCCAGTAGGGGTGAACCCCCGTGGCCCCACTGGCAGAGATTCCTTTGATTTCACCGGCACAAGCTCCATTCCTCGCAGCTGTTTGGGCGCGAACGCGACTGAAAACCCCGCGAGCGCCGGTGGATCTGCACGCAGACTGACCCTTTTTTTAAGGTCCGCAGTGGAGAGCTCTGGGTATGGAACCATGGGCTGCTCGGGGGATCTCATATGGGGTTCTCTTAAAAAGGGGATCCCCAAATCCATTGGGGCTCAATACTCAAATGGTCTAATTTTTCGGACGAGTTGGGGTAAGCACCATTTTTGGAAACCTCCATATTCCACTGAGGAATCCTTTTGAAGGAAGGTGTGTTTAAGATCCAGCCTTTGCCTTTGGCTTCATGAAGATGGTCCAAACTCGCGGGTCGCTAGACTCCAGCGCTGATCTCTTGGTTGAAGAAATGCAACATGTGCCACACCGGGCGAGCCACCCAGAAAGTTCCTCTCCAAAAAACGCAGATTCTTGGAGCTGCCTTGGGATGGACTGGTAAAACCATGCTCTCAAGATGTCCATCCAAGCCCACAGCCCGTAAGAATAGGGTCCAAAACGCTCCCTAGACTTGGATGAAAAATTTTGGTGGGCCTTCAAAAAAATAAAGTACGAGGCAGAACATAAAGTACACCCGCGAAGCCTGTTTATGAAATTAAGCAGTATGTAGTATATACGTGTATATGTATATATATATATATTACACATATCTATGCCATTTCTCGACTTGGTTGATCAAAAGAGAACATGCAATTCACGGGTTTCCCTGTAGATTTTCCCATGAAAGCCTTTTCTGGTGAGCCCGCCAGGTCATGGCCAAAGCGACTGAAAAGGACAGGGCAGGGAACGCTCCTGTAGGTCACACCATCGAAGATGGCATCCCTTGGTAGACCATAATGTCCTGGCAACAACTTACTGCCGAAGGATCTTCCCTGTGCCGAGCTTGTGGTACAGAGCAGCACTGCAGGCAATCAGCTGATCAATCTTAGAGGGTGGGGGTAGCAACAGAACCTGTGTCACTTGCCTGTGAAAAAAAAGATGGAACCCGGCAAGAAATGAGGTCCTAGAAGATGATTTAGACCTTCAACTGACTATTTTTTTTAAGTTTAAAAGGGACTTAAAAATGCTTCTTTGAACGGGTGATTGCAAATGTCACCCGCTGAAAGGGGGTGAGATGGGAGCTGGGATGTTCTAATAAGGCATACTTTGGCATACTTGAGCTGAGGGGCTCTGGCAATTCAATTGAGGTCTTTGCGCCTCCAAGGGTCAATCTGGAAGGAAAAAATCCGGTTAGAAATCAACCTCACTGGGAAACAGTTAACAAGGTGCCAGAAATTCGCGGATGGATTCCCAAAGCGCCAGGAATCACACACATCATTCCAGGGCTGTAGTGACTGTAGTGCCCCATTGCGCGTCAGGTGAGGTGGTGGGTGCACTTTGCTTGGGACCCTCCAAGCAAATTGGTCTTGTGGGGCGTTCCGATCCTTGTGAGATGCAGGCGCGCTGGGGGTTGAAGTCCAGCAGGAGATGGTTCGATCTGAAAATCTACTGGCCATGGGCCAGTCCTGCTTGCGAACAGGTCAAGCACAGCAAGATCTCGGGCAAGCACCTTCAGATTTGCGACTCTGGATGCACTTGTACATGGTTTCCATCCCTCCCTGCATCTCCCTGCCACTCACTGTGGAATATGTTAATTTTATGGATACAGTAAAATCACCACCCACCATGGCATTTTGGGCCAGTGGCCAGTTCTGGCCCATTTCGAAAGGGACCCAGCCCTGGGAGTCAATCTAAGGCTGGCACGATGGCCACTGCGAACTGACGGTCCTAGGAGCTATGGGGTGCTTCTGGAACGACAGCTTCCTTGTGAAGGCCCGTGGATGTAAAGAGTAGGTCAGTCAAAGCACAGGCTTGCCCCTGCTTCACGAGTCCCGAAATCAGACATACACCAATCAAAAAGGATAGGTTATGCCCAAGAAACATCTGAACATATCGTCAAAATAACCCGCACTGCATGCAAAGGAAGATATACCAGTAGTACCGCACAAGGCGCTGGCGGAAGTTTCAAACATAGGAAACCTATAGGAGAGGTTGGTTGTTGTGAATCACGGATGGCAGAGCGAATCCACTGATGGACCGAAAGGTGATTGGAGCTGTTGCAGTGGTTGCAGTGGTCAGAAAAGACACGGTGGAGCTGCGAAGAAACCACGAAGGCAAGGCACCCTGCGACATGGTCCGTCGGATCGGTCCCGTGCTCCGACCCGACCCAGTCGCCACTGACATGTGGGAGGTGTTTGCCTCTGGAAATGCAACCGGCAAACCGAAGGAACCAGCTTCGTAGAAATATTTCCATAAAATAAGGGCCAGAAGGCATACAACCAACAGCAACTGTCTGTCCCCTGTGCATCACTGGTTACATCAACAATTCCAAGGCATAGACTCCAATTTTTTGCTTGCAAATTCCCGTGGCATGTTATCTTGTAATTGAGACAGCATCAAAAGCGAAGCTATTCTGGAAAGCTTCCTCCATTTTTGAAGGTGACAACATAAAAAACGAAGCAATTTTGGGAGACTTCCTCGACTTTTGATCTTGATAACATCAAAAACGAAGCAATTCTGCGAGATTTCCTTCAATAATGGAAAGTTGAGTGCAGAGCTGACGGCCTCGTGCCACTGTGTTTTGCGATTTTTCCAGTCCATATCTCTAAAGTCTTGCGCCTGCCAGGAAAAAGTGAGGCCAGGTCATACGAAGTGCTGTGACTGTGACACAAAATCATCTTCCCAAAATTGAAGATGTGATGGTCCAAAATGCAACCCCTCTCAGGAAATCAGCGCCCGGACCTCCAAACATCTCTGATGAACATGTCTCTTGTATCGCGCCTGCCGCCGAAAATGCATCTTTGCAGATCCTCTTCAAATGTCCCACGCCTGCCAACGATTTTGAAACTGCTACAAAACCCTCACGTTTTGCTCACTTTTGTTTTTTGGCACAATCTCTTGTGCCTTGCAGGCATCTACATGCAT